GCAACTTTGTTTTTCAAATTTGTAATTTTATCATCTTAAATTTGCACCTGGCTTTCTTGATTTTAATAGATTACACAAATAATCTTAATGATTCAACTTGAAAGATAACATGTTATTATTTGAATACTTCTAGGAATTTACAACTTTACTTTTAAAATTTGTAATTTCATCTTGTAGAATTTACCACTTATTTTTTCAATCTTAATAAATAACACGTACAAATTTTAGTGATTAAATTCTAACAAGTAATTTGGAATTTTGGCTTCCAAATTTGTAACCTTGGCCAACTAAATTTGTAACACATGATCTCCCTTTCTTATTGACATAAGTATATTGCATTATGTGAAATTATTAGTTAAGGAATTAGGGATATATTTTATATTTTAAAATTTATTGAAACTTTACCTGAAGAAAATGATCTCGTTGAGACTTAATTGTCATTGTTTTTTGATCAAACCCAGGTAACAAGCATTTTTCATATGTAACAAGTGACATTTCAAAACAAATAAAGAAAAACTCCAACGTTGAACATGGCATATCTTTCTGTAATGGTAATTGAAGTTTAATAAGAAGGAAAAAAGATCTATTAATTTAGCAATGCAAATGAGAAATATAGTACAAAATGTTATGAGTACATGGAAGATGAATCTTTTTATCAAGATTTATTAAATGATCCTTACAAGGTTATTTAATCTCTATCTTAATAACGTATAAAATGATGGAAGTCAACAAGTATATATGGTGCATTTTCGTTATATGTTGTTGGGCTATTCAAGGCCCAACCTTGATGCGGGCGAAAACCAAGCCCGTGATCTAACGAAAAAACAATGAGTTTAATGAAATTTCCGCACTTGTCTCCCTAAAAGGTTTCATTATTTGCTGGGGAAGCATGAATTGCAGTAGTTCCCTCCGAGGTTTAATTTGTCCGATGAGATGGGCCAGAGAAGGCAAAAAAGCAAGACATACATATGTGTGTGTGGGGTAAATTAGGAAAGCAAGACATGCAATACTTTGTTTAATTTGGATGAGATGAGGACCAAGGTACTTAGTGTCATGTTGTAATTTGGGGATTTTGACCGTTAAAGTGTTGTGTAATCTAAAAGAAAAAAATTTAAATGAGTTATTGTTAATCTAAAATGAATTATCGTTAAAACCTAAATAGATACTTGTTGATAAAAGATTAACTTAAATCAAGAAGTGTCCATTATAGCTTTAACAACAAATAACCCTTGATTGATATAAATTTTCTCCAATGTTTCTTAATTGATATTTTTTGAAGAAAAAAAAAAGAAAAAATTGCATACAGAATGGTTATATTTAATTTCTTGCCTAATTAGTCAAGGTAAGCTCATCATTTAAAGAATCTATATCAAAGACTCTGCAAACAAGAATAGAAGCTGGATGCAGAACTCTGTAGGTTTATCAACTAAGGATATGAAGTTCTAGATCCCCATCTCAAATGCATGTCTCTTAGACTAATTCCTCATCAGCCATTTTCCTAAATGACCCATCTCCATCCATCTAATATGAATTTCTTGAATGGCTCAACTAGTCTTGTTGTACAAATAGGATACTTCACGTGGATGGAATCTTATGATAGAGCATCATCATCCACATCTCCATCATTTGCACCAGACAGTTAGGATAGAGACTCAGACTTATTAGCTATTTCCGAAGCTAAAGGACACACCAACACCAAAAACTACTCAAGATATAGATCAAGACTTTGATAACGAATAGCTAGAAGAATTGATGCCACTTAACAACCCTGCAGCCAGAAAGTGTCAAAAGGAAGAGAAAAGTTTACTTTTAATTATATCTTCTTTTAAGCATTTGTCTTGTAGTTATTTTGTCAAAAGTCACTTTTAACTTTTAGACAAAGCAGTTTTACTTTTAGTCATGTCGTCCTACTTTTACTCTACTTTGTCTAAAATAATCAAGCATGTGATAAAAGTTTGTCTACTTGTAATCATGCATCCTCTATCTTGATCCTCCATCATGTCTATATAAGGAAGTTTCAGTTTGTTTGTAAGGCAAAACTCGTTTGGGAATAAAACCTGTGTGTTTCTCAATTATGTCTCTCTAAACTTCATTCTCTCTCCTAAAAACTTGATTCTTCAATATTCCACATTTGTCATACTAAGATTCAAGTATATTTTGCACTTGCCTGTCTAAGAAATCTATGGACCATTTGCAAGTGAGCCCATATCACTGTGCTTAAAAATCTTTGGATTAAAGTGACAGGGGATTAAAGATTCTAAAATAACCCGAGTTTATTTAAAAGAGGCATTGAAGGTGCTTTCATGGATTAATATATCTTGTAGCATTAAAATACAAGTATCTCTAAAATTAGGCACACATGTCCCGCCCCCTTTGGTTATGTTTTTATTTCTTTTTGTTTTTGTTTTATTTATTATTTATTATTTTTTGGGAGGGTGGGGGCGCCTCGTTTGCATTGATTTGATAGCATTAATTAATGCACCAACCAGATGAGCAAAATGAAATAAACAAACATGCCAGTGCAGACATTTTCTTGCTGACCACACACACACACACACACGAGTTTTCATAGTGTTAATATTCAAAGTTGACAGTTGTTTACAGCATAATATCGGCCTTCAAACTAAATTCAAAATCTGGGGTGGGTATAATTAAATTTTAAATGAGAGGGAAGAATTAACGTAAAAATATTAATTGAATACGTGACGGCTCATCGAGAGATTCAGATGTGTTTCATTCAAAAGGTTGACTTAGTATTCAAAGACGAGAAAGATCGATGAGTTGGATTTCGACGATGATCATGACCCACTAGTTCTCAATTTGCCTTTGCTCTTGCTCGGATCATTAACTGCGACCGAGAAAAACTCAACGCTCAGAAAAGTTTGTACTACGCTCGTAAGTCAAAACAGCGAGGTGGCAGACATTTCTTGTCAAACAAATTAATTAAATACGCAGTTTTCATAGTAAAAGTCGTAAAACGAACAATACACCATATACTTAAAAAAAGGGGGGGGGGCGAGAGATTGAAAGTAGAAAGCAGCTCGTTCATGAATGACATAGTATATGTATGACACAAACATTAAATAAGAAAGAGCGAGTTGGACCACGTAACATGTAGTAAATTCAAGTAGTAACTTTTGATACATTTTCAGACAACAAAATAGCTAGAGAATATATAGAGACAAGAAGGAATATCAAGCTATGGGTGTGATGAATATGTAGGCGGTTATACTTAGACCTAAACAAACGGACAAAATTGAAAAAAGCTAGAAAGGCTGAATACATGGCAGCTAAGGATGTTAACAAGAGTCAACGAAATATGCATTGAAACATGCAGGTCGACGTCGGTGGTGAGAGCTATATCAATTCAATATGGTCCACTCATGTATATCTCGTGCCACAAAGTTATGACTTCTGTGCACTCACAGTCAACTAGTTAAACCTAAGTTTGAAGGATTAATGTCATTATTAATTACCTGGTCTTATTGGCTTCCAACTTAATATTGAACCCAAAAAATTATCAGATTTGCTTTTTCATTTTATTAGTATTCTAGCTAGTTCGATATATAATATCCAACACTAAACAGATATCACAAAAACAACAAGCCTTACCTTCAGTTATTACAAAAGAAAAAATAGAAAAAAAGATAGATATGATCATCCTCCCTCCTAATTAACTAGGCATCCTAAAGATTAAAATTAACCCCAATATAATCTCTTGCTACAAGGCATAGGAAAAATATAATTATCAAGCATTTTAACCTAAAGAATCATGTCATTCACACTTTGATCAAATAAAATATATTAATTTTATAATCAACTTGACCAATCTTTATTGGTAAGCCTTACTATTTATAATCAAGCTATAAACAAACGTTTCTTTCGGCCAAAAAAAAAATTAAGCTATAAACAATGTTATTCACATCAAATTCCATGAAAAGTATACACCTACAATGTGGTTGATTACATTGGATGATATGTGTAATGTACAAGAACGAAAAATTTAAATTTTGCTAATTATTCTAAAAAGGCGGTCATCATCATTGATCAATATTCAATACTCCTTCCACTGCTAAAAAGTAAAATTAGCATTTTTTTTAACGTATTACACACAGGAATGCACAAAGATTAAATAAGACTGGGTTAACTATCAACCCAAGGTGCATCTGCTCATTGTCATCGCCCTCAAGGGGTATACAAGATCAGGTTTAATTTGATCTCGTCTAAGATACTAACGAAAAAGGAAAAAATAAAACAATACATTTTCTTCATTAAATTAACCTAATATAAAATTATATTCTCTTAACAAATCATATTATATTAAAATTTACATGACTTTATTTTAAAAAAATTAGTAATTTTTCGTTATATTAAAATAATATTAAGTTCAGAGATAAATTTAATTCTTTAAATAAAAGTAAAAGATTGAATTTTTAAAAATTTCCATGATAATAAATCCATTCATTAGATATGATATATCAAGAAAACTGATATCATAAAATTAATTAATATTAACAAAACATTAAAATAACATAAAAATATACACCAAGCCAGGCATTGGAAACCAATTCCTCTCCCAATAGGCGACTGCTCCTAACAGGTTGCCGAATTGATTGAACACAAAGCCTAAGCTAATTCGTATTCTCATGAATCCAACTAACATGTGGATCATATACGCTTGATTCCCACTGTATCATGTTTAGTTTTAACCATGCTTCCAGTTCACTAGGTGGTTTAAAATTGCTCAGAAGTTGCGTACACACAATCATTATTCTCATTTTTGGTCTTGAGTAACTGATATTGTCTGATCAAATTAATATGATCTGATTCAGGATTTCGTCACGCATATAGGAAAAAGGAGAATCGTCCATCAGCAATTAAAAGCACGTGCGTTCCTCAATATGATCTGTCAAACAATTCACGCTGGTAGATTTGTCTTTGATCAATTCCCTTTTGCCGTACTCGTGGGTTGTACTTCCCCCATAAGATCCGATGATCCATGTCTTTATATTCTAAAAGTTGTTTCTTGATTATAATTCATTGAAAACTAATAAATTATATCACAATAGAGGAAGTAGAAAAGAGAGAGAAAGAGAGAGAGAGAAAAGGAAAAAGATGATCTAGATTCTATATTCTGGAGCTACCTGGTTTTCTGTTAATCATCACCTTTGGTGCCCGGTTAACAGATAAACTTGAATACAGGGGGAATTATTCCAAAGCTTGGAGTGCAACCTCAGTATCGATCTCGCTTTCTCTTTCAAACTCGGTTCACAATTGGCTTGAATCACCATGCAAAGCTTCGACACTGCTCCCACCCTCAACATTTCCAAAACAACGTCGTTCGACCCGGAATACCTCGCCATCAGCCACAATACATGAACGGTCCTGTCATCCGTCGCCGGAGACACCCTCAGAACCCTCTTCGACGCCACCGCAATCCCCGCCGCGTGTGACAAGAATTGTTCCCTCCCGTCCGCACAAGAGCATAGCTGCGCGAGGAGGTTAAATGTAAGCTCGGTTATCTTCTTCTCGGGTTTCTCTAGCTCAAGCTCGATCAATTCACATACTGCCCTTGCTTCCACTATCCTCGTCCTGTTTCTTCCTAAAGGACACGTTTCCATAAGAATATGCAAGGCGGACTTCAAGGCTTGTTGTGAGATTGATCTGTTTTTGATCACCCTTGTGATTTCACTGAAGAATTCGGGTTTCAAACCTCCTAAAAGTGTTGAATCCACGAGCTCGATGGTGGATTTTAACACAGGCATTGCTTCGTTGATCAGATTGACGTTGGTGTCCACGTGGAGCTGGAGAATCCTAGTCAAAGATTTGATGAAGTCGATGTTTTGGATGACCAGAGGCTTGATGGTGTTGCTATTCCAGAGCAGGCGTAGAATTTGCAGAGATTGTTCGAGGGAAATAGTGTTGTTACCTAACTCGTTGGAATTTTTTGTAATCAGATGAACCATGGACTCGGCCACGCCAGATTCCACCATGCACTTCAGGTTCCTCTGGTTTTCTGTGGCCAGAGCATGCAATCTCTCCAATGCGGATTGGCACAACTGGGGAAGCTGGAGATTCCTGACCAGTTTCTGGAGGAGCGTCTTGTTGGGAGGGGATTTAGGGGTGGGGATGCGATCGACGCCGTGAGCGGCGTTTTCCGAGCACCAAGCCTGGATGAGACGGCGGAGGGTGTGGTTGGGAGTGAGGTCGGAGCCTCTGGGCAATGGCTGCTTCGTGACAGGACACTTGTGGTCTTTGGCCTTGAGCAGCCACTGTTCGATGCTTTCTCTGTCGTAGGTTATGCCGGTGAGCGTAGTCACAGGGTCCTTCATGATCTGAAGTGAAATGGGACAGACGAAATACTGAGGAACTTCGATTTCATCCATGGATGATCAGAGGGGGAGGAAGATGGTGAGGATGACAGGAAGAGGAGAGAGGAATGGTCTGGTTTGGTTTTGTTGGGTAAGAGAAAGCGGCTGTATAATACATCAAGGTTGGAACTTGGAAGGGGGTTTTTATATGCGTAATTGGAATATAATAATATTCCTTGATTTTGGAGACGACTAATGAGAAATTCGATGATCCGGTGTATTCACAGCCCACTGCCTTGATCTGCTTGGCCAAGTCCGCCCCTGTTCTGATTAAAAATTACCAAAAAAAAAAAATCATTATTTATTTCATTATTTTTAAGTTTTTACTCACTTCTTTAATATGGGGTAGACTATAATTTAAACATTAATTTTTATTTTTTTATTCTACATTTCAAAAGATAAATAAAGATTGATGAGAAAAACATAAAAAATAAATTAGTAAAAAAGAAACAAAAAGTATGAAACTCTAATATCATTTTTTATTTTAAAATAATAGTATAATGGTAAAGAATGTTGAAGTAAATAGAAAATGTTGTATGAAAAAAAAGACTACTAAAAAGTAAAAGAGGCACTATATTATCTATAGTTCATTAAGTAAAAATATATTAATTCAATCAAATAAAATATTATATATAATTATTTTTAATAACCTTATTTTATTATAGAATGCTTATTTAATTTATTGTATTTTCTTTTTTACTATCATTAACATTTTAATTAAAAAATAATAATAAAATTTCTTTAAAATATATAAATGATAATTTAATCTCTTAAAATGTTACAATTTACTTAAAGTCCCAAAGACTTTTGTAACAATTCAAACCTATGGTACCCTTCACTTAATTTAGATTGGGCCCACCTCTTAAGAGGCTCAAGCCAACTTTCCCTCTAGTGATATGGGGGTTATTCTTCACTCTATTCTCACAGGGGTCTTTTAGAACCTCTCGAAATTTAATCCTTCAACTTTTACCATCATAATAAAGTTGAGGCTGAATTTTGTACCATTAAACCAATTTCATTAAGATGATAAAGGTTGGAGAATCGAATCCCAAGAGGTTTCAAAAGATCCCTGTGAGAGTGGGGTGAGGAATAACCCCTATACCACTAGGAGGAAAGCCAACTTAGGCCTTATGAGAGGTAGAGGCCCAATCCAAATCAGGTAGGGGGTGCCGTAAGTCTGGACTATTATAACTTTTTCGTCAGTGATAAATTTATACAAATTACCAAATTCTTAAAATAAATGATTCATAAATTTTATTTAAATATTCTCAACTTTTTTTCTTATATTCACAACAATACAATAGCAAATAAAAAATTTAACATAGTTGTGATTTGTTGTTACATTGTTGTGAATATAAGAAGGAATGTTGTGAATATTTAAACAAAACTTATGAATCATGTACTTTCAACTAGAATAATTTGATAATTTATATAAATTTATTAATAATAGAAAATTTTTTAGAGATTTTAAAAAAATTATGACATTTTGAGGGACTAAATTATCATTTATAAATTTCAAAGGAATTTTATTATCATTTTCTCTATTTTAATTTTAATTAATTTATATTCAATGTCATCTAAATGTTATATTTTTATTAAATGGACCATGAATGATGAGGTGCATTGAGAGTAAATTTTTATTCAGACCAGATATATCACATCATTTGTGATTTATCCAATTAGAATATCCCAATTTATCTAAATAATATTTTGTATGATATTATTTTAATTGATTTTATTTTTACAATACAATGTATATTTAATTGATTTTATTTTTATATAATATTATTTTAATTTATATTTAATATTATTTAAATATTATATTTTTATTAAATAGTTCTGCCAAATAATTTGTGGTTCTTCTAAAAATTTCTCTACAACTAATTTGATTTTGTTAAACAGAGATTGGGGGCGGTGGTCAAACCAAGCACCAGAAATGATTTGAAAATCATTATTAAATAGGGCATTTTGAATTCCAGGTGCATGAATTTCCTTGGAGTGCATTACATGCATTACCACATGGCACAATGTTAGTGGCGGATATTTACGCCTAGTGGTGAATGCTATTGGGGGCGGGATTGCTCTTTGATTGTGCTTCTGACCACTAAATTGGAAGCTTCCGAATCAGGGGCAAGTTTCAGGCTACAAAGGAAGGGGAATTTTTGCACATATTTAATATGATCAAATAAAAATGATAATTTAACATTTAAAATACTTTGCAATGTGGTCAAATTAATATTTACATTAAATTAAAATGATAAAAATATTCATTTTTCTTAAAAATAAAATCTCATCCTCATTTTTGAATTTAAAATATATTCTGTTCATTAAGTTGATGGTGAAATATTCAAAAATATTTAAATATTGAAGCAATGCATGATTGTAAATGGGTCACAATTATAATAATTTAATTATAAGAGTTTTGCTATTATCTTATACGAGTTTTTTTTTATTTGTTTTGAAGATAAAAAGAGAAAATTGATCTCCAATTGATTGTAACTAGATCACATTTCAGGATTTTCAAAATTTTCTTCCATAATTTTTGGTTAATATGTTTTTTACAGTCATTGAGCCAATTTACTCAAACAAAAATTGGGAGCTTAATTAGTTTCTTAACATGCATGTATCCTTCACCCACATAGGAGGATCATACGTGACAAATTTGCGGTCCCTGGTTTATTTTTGGGTCTAAATAGCGTTCAGATATCATCGAAGTGCGCTGGCCAATAATTTGGAGTTTGCATATCAAGCAAAACTAACTGCTTCCGTTTATTGTTTTCGCCAATTTTAATATGTGTTTAATTTTTTAAAAATTTTTGAATAATTTTGATCTAATAATCGTAATTAATATACAAGAGCTTAATTCAAATCCATCCCTCCTATCACGCCGTTGAAATTTACTCTGAATTACAGACATTCTAATATAGTCAAAATTTACAGCCAAAGTGACTGTACAATTGAAAAGGGGGAAAGAATGTTCATCTTGTTACTTTGTTCGCAAAATATAGCTGCTGACGGTTTACCTTGAAAAAGGCGAGTCATTCCCATCTTTCCTTGTCAATTCTCTCTCTCTCTCTCAACTTACTATTTGGTTTTATGCGTATATTACTAGCTAGTATTTAAAAAGAAACACAGCTCATTTACTTTTAAATCAAAATTAAAGGTGACGCATACGCGTAGCATGTTAACTGGAAGCAAAAATTAAAGAACATGTGCCACTTTCTTTTCTTTTTCTTTTGAATAATTCTTTCTGAACACAAAATCAAAAGAAATTAAAGCAGGAACTCATATCCTAACCCCTCTTTCTCTCTCTATATATCTATATTCATGTGAATAAATTTAAAACACAGAGAAAAAGAAAAACGCTCAAATTTACTTTATTCATATGCCCCACGGCCCCACCCAAGAAATTCCGCCCACTAAACTTGTCTGGCCCTTTTCTCTTTTTTATTTTGTCTTTTTGCTTTTGCTTGCTTGGTGGCTTTTTAACTGACAAAATATCAAACGCATAACAACACGAATCTAGATGAATCTGAAGTTCTTAAATCTAATAAATTCGAAGGCCTAATAAATCGGAAATTCTAATAAATCTAAACCTAATCTAAATTATTTTTTAAAAGATAATCAAAAATTGAAATTCTAATTAAAATCTTAATGAAAATTGAAAGATTTAGATATTTAGACTTGTATATTTAACATATTTGTTCAATTAAATTAAAACAGGTAAATCTAAAGTTGTTAATAATATAAATAACAAGAGTTTATATTGTTGATCAATGAATAATATATAAAAGGCGGTCATTTAATTGAAAAAGAGTATCTTAAAAATATAATACTAATTAGTGTATAAGTTAATCATAAATTAATGATGAATCTTCCTGATCCCTCATTAAATTCTATAGCTAATCTGTCTCATTTTATCATAATTTCATAATAACTTAAAAAATAAAATTATTCCAAACTTTTTTTTTTCCCCTTTTTGTGCGGCAACTTACATTGCCAAACCCTAGGCCATAGCACTCATGCTACCAACTTTTACGATCTTCACCTTTTTCCTATTCGCCACGGGTGGAACAACAGCTTGGACGTTCTTAATTCATTGCTCGTGGAATGCTACGATCTGATTGAACATCGAGCTCCTGCAAGAAAAGCCTAGGACCTTGCTCCAGGTCCGCCCATTCACAACATCAATTCCAAAACGACTCAGTTCCAATCTCAGAGTATCAGTCAAAGCATGAAGATTCTTGACTCTTGAGGTGAATTAAGAATTAAAAAGAGCAGCTTTGCAAGCAGTGTAAGCATTATTTGTCTTAATTCTTGAGGTGAATTCCTTGAAAGCCTCGACCTCTTCCCTCAACCGCCTCTTTGTGTCGTGGACATTCCGTCATCCAAGTCGGTGGAGTGTCTGATGGGGAAGACTTACAGGAGGCTAAAGGGAAGCCAGAACTTGAGGCAACGTCTGGTTCTTGCAACCCTCTCGTCCACTCCAATACTCATTGAGAATATCCGCACAGACGATACCTTTTCTGGTCTTAAGGAATACGAAGTCTCCTTTCTCCGCTTGCTAGAGAAAATCTGCAATGACTGCTACATCGAAATCCCAAGTGGTAATTAATTTCAGTTTTTCTTTGGGCCTATATATGTATTGTTTTTAAAATTCTAGGATAGTGGATTCAACTGGCCACGTTGGGGCTAAATTTGTTTTATTAACGTATAGCTACAACGTTGAAGTACAAGCCTGGAATCGTGATCGGGGGGAGTCATCTTTATCATGATTGTGGAGTTAGTCGTTCCATTGGTTATTTTCTGGAGCCACTGCTCGTCCTTGCTTTATTTGCTAAGAAACCACTCACTATTAGACTCAAAGGTAATTGCAGTGCCTTTTTAAATACGTTGCATGACCTTATGATAAGGTATACATCATTGTGTGATATTTAGACCTTCGACAATTGAGTGCTGGTTGATCTTAAGACATTGGGTCTAAATGGACTGGCATTGGCATAACAGTGACTACAAAATTTCAATTTTCTGGCTCTTGATAATTATGGTAGCATGATACACTGTTGATTGATTATATGTTAATAGGAATTACAAATGATTCTAAGGATCCTTCAGTAGATACTTTTCGTTCCACTACTTTGCCCATATTGAAGCTTTTTGGAGTCCCTTGTGAAGGATTGGATCTTATAATAGAGTCTCGCGGAGTTCCTCCGAATGGCGGCGGGGAAGTTGTCTTGGCAGTTCCCATTGTTCACAGTCTAAATGTAGGTACATTAATTTATCTGTTTTATTTTTTGAATTCTTTTGTGATCTCAAGTATTGCTCCTAGCAGGCAGTTTCCTGGACCGACGAGGGCTTGATTAAGAGGATAAGAGGAGTAACATTTTCAGCAAGAGTAAGTTCTCAGTTTGAAAACATCATGATTCATGCTGCCCGTGGAATCCTCAATCTTCTACTCTCAGATGTACACATTTTTACTGATCACAGAGTTGGTCCACAAGCTGGAAAGTACGATTTCTTTATTTTGCATTTTAGTAGTATATTTCATAGACATTGTTTGATTTGATGACACGCATGACCCTTTGTTTTGGGCGATTCGTCCAATAGATCCCCTGGATATGGGATTTCGCTAGTTGGGGAGACCACTTGTGGTGTCTTCATCTCTGTAGACACCACTATTTGTCATGCTCGTGCTGGAGAAATTTGTGACTTCACAGATGATAACAAGACTGACCTCGTACCCCCAGAGGACGTTGGTCGACAAATCGCCTTTGTTTTACTTGAAGAGATTAAACTGAGTGGAGTAGTAGATTCAACGCATCAGGTTTGTGTTCTTAATTATATAATGTCCCTTTTTCAATCCTTAATTTTTATTTTGTTTTGCTTTATGATGTCATCTACTTGGTTTTTGTTCTTTGGATTTCATTTGCAGGGCTTATTGTTTCTTCTTTGCGCACTGTGTCGACAAGATGTCTCCAAGATTCGCGTTGGAAAGTTGTCCCAACATGGGATTCAAACACTCAGAGAAATAAGGGATTTTTTGGATTTGAAATTTATTATGAAGACCGATCCAAGGACCGAGACAATTATTCTTAAATGTATTGGTTCTGGCATGAAGAACCTTTCGAGAAAGCACTCATGAAGCGAACAAATCTTTTTTTTTTTTTTTAACCAGACTGCGGAAAAGCAAAAAATGAAAAATGAAAAAACCGTTAGATCTGCGGACTTTGGAGCTCGTTAAACAAGAAAACGAACACACGTGGTATGCTGTGTATTTTTTGAAATTTTTTTCTTTGCGTATCTGTAGAATTACATCAATAACATTATTTCAATATTTTATGTATTGACAAAAGAAATAATTTTATGTTTTCATTTTTATTTTTTAACATTTCTATCAGTTTTCAAATTTTAGGCCAACCTCAGCTTGACCTAACTTTGTGAATACTCCGAAGTCCTATCAACCATCGCTAAATGTAAAAGCCCACCACTTAATGTTGCCACCATTGTTTGTTGTGTGTGTGTGTTTTAATTGGCATTTGCCTTGTATTGTCTATTGATGATGATGACTATAGCCAACCACTGCCTGTCAATAGCCATCAGCCCAGTAGCCCACCACTATCTGACGTTGACTATTGGTATACTTAAAGCTTGTTATCAAATTAATTTTTCCAAATATTTTATTTTAAATTTTATCATTACATCGGTTGAGCCAGTTGAATCATTTCACGCGACATTTTCAATTCAATGTTCAGTGTACAGTCTGATTTCTAAAACACTCTTGGTAGTATATTTTTAAACTTAGAAATGTTCATATGGTATATGCTTAGTTTAATGTTACATTCAATTACCTTTTACTTAGTTACTGTTTTAGATTCATAAAAGATTGAAAAATTTAATTATTCATATAATAGACAATTTATTTTAAGAGGGGCCTGACACCTCTGCTTTTCCCATGGATCGACTTCGGGTTCCAAGCAAATCCAATCTTGGATGTTAAGACCAGCTAGTGCATACATGTCAACTCACCGACCCAAATTTGACTTAGAGGAGGAAACGTAAAAGAAAATCGAGGCATCAGCAATGAGCTATACATTTTCGTAATACCAGGTCACAGGAAATTATGAGCTATTAGCCCATTGTTTCAATCACTATCGTCAACAAGCTACTTTGCACTAGCAAGAAACAATATCGCGCATTGATGAATAAAGGAATTATAAGTTAAAAACACTTTTAATCATCTCCCCAAGCCTCGTCTCTCAATTTTTGTCTGGTAACTATACGGTTCCTCCTCGCATCTTCCTGCCTTTTCAATTCTCGGGACCCAAAGCCTGTGGATGACAATTTTAACCCCATTCCCTGGGCAATCAACCTCTGCGCTGCTTGAGCTGATGTTTTCGGTCTTTGCCTAGGAGGTTCCAGGTCTGAATGAACAAGCAGAGAGGGAAAAATTGTTAAGAGCATCCAGACTAATCATCAAAACATAATATAAGATTTATAGCATGTCACATTATTTACAAGCCACAATATTCATGCAACTCATCTAAGACTTTGTACAATGTACGGAGTCCACAGGTTAGCTGGTCTTAACAATAGAATGACGAGCAGAATCAAAACAACTGATGACAATTTTTCTTTGGAAATTTAAGATGATCTTGAGTGAGCTTCCGTATCAGCAAGTGTAAAGATTGATTGGACAGCATTACCCCCAAAATGCTTTCATGTGAAAAGAAATCCAATAAACGAAGTAGGAACTGCCTTGTTTTCAACTATGTACCACTAAAGAGTTAAACCAATTTCGGACAGCAAAACAAAAATATTTCCATATGGAAATAATCCAAAAGCTCAAAGCATATTATATTATACATGAGGTTTATACGAATATTTAAAAATACCAGAACAGTTCTACAAGATGGTTTTACGCGGTACCCAGGTTCTGAATTTCAGAAGTTAATGCGTCACTCTTGCACAAAGAAGCAACCTTTCGACCCAAAATAAAAAACAAAAAACAAAAAACAAAAACAAAAACAAAGAAGCAACCGTATTTTGACCACATTTAGTAGAAAGATAAAGCAGTCGGTACCTCTTGCTTTAATTGAACTAAGAAGTGCATCTTCCTCATCGAGTATCCTCACAGTGAATGGATAATGAATCCTGTTAAGGGCCTCAAGAGCTGCATCATAATTATAAATTTATAATACTGAGATTCTCAGATACCCACACAACTTTAAATTTTATAACGAAAAAACACAGTCCCCTAAACTAAAGCATCAAGAACAGAATGAGTTCAAGGAAACCATTTTCTTTTTTCTGGGAAAATAACAAACATCAGCCAACCCCCCCCCCCGGGGGATAACATCAAATTATAACACATTGCATTACACAAACCAAACAGCCGAGGATGAAAGGCACCAGGAAACTAAGAGTACTTGTGCAGGTATAGTTGTGCCCCTTCTTAAAGAATCTCATTCTCAAAAACTGCCAAGTCAGTTGATTGATCACTTCTGAATGAACTATCTACTTCAGCAGAATCATGCCAATCTTGCAATCCAATACCTTCATACAGGCTGTTACTATTGCTGACAATTTTTATTTGCTTTATAATTAGTAGACATAGCAATGTCATCAATGTCATCTAAGAGATGACTACAGTTAAACTGTAGGGAAACAAAGGTTTTCAAGCCTCTACTATTGATAGAAAGCATCTTTTTATGTCTCTACTCCTCTGTCACCAATCCATAATTGACCAACCATAGTATACTCAGTCACTCTAATAATATAAGCATAGGTGCATTTGACCACAATGATATTGTAAATACCAATTGAAGGCGTTCGGAACACTGCAAGTGCAACTGTATCATTGACCCAGCGAATCACAACTCCGCGATCTTTGAAGTCCTCAAAAAGTTTCTCCAGCTCTATTGTCGTAGTACTTGGCAAGAAGTCAGCCAAAACAAGAATATGGCGGGTCCCATAATTTGCTGGATCAAATCAAATATTAAACTTTAAATGTTTTGAATATGATGCCTTGAACATACAGAACATAACTAGCAAAAGAAATTACACTGTAAAAGAAATATTGAGAACCAGTGTCCTTGAGGAATTATAACTATGAAACTAATAACAATGTTAACATTCAGTGAGTATCAAAATTTCAAAACAAACGTATTTCTGTACTGCAGCACAAAAATCAGAAATATAGGCATACTAGTTTAAGATCTGATATTTCTGTAAACACATCAGTAGGTTTCCTCAGGTTATTGAAATGCCCATTCTGCCACTTACAGGTTCCCATATCTCTCTTATCTTCTGAATAATGGTGAGCCTCCTCATCCTCGACATCAATGACAGAGTTATCAAGTAACTGATCACTGTAAAGTTCACGTTTTTCATAGGAGAATGTTCCTCTTCCACGCCGCTTTGGGATTTGACCTTTGGTGTTCTCTAATTTAAGATCTGATACTCCAGATAAACACTGAGCAGATACTGAGGAGAGCAGCTCATCAGGTGAATGGTCTGCAATTGCTTCCCAATCTGTATTGTTTCACAAATTCAATCATATTACATATGCTAACACCTTTAACATAGAATACGAACAAATTGTATGATAACTTCTTTCCTTAAGCATATAAAGGAATCATAAATAAACCAGGAACTAAAACTATAAAGTCCTCACCAAAAAAAAAAAAAACTATATACCTGTTTGAAGTTGGAGTTAAATTGTGTACGAAACAGTGAGAAAGAAAATGACTCAAAGATCAAGATTCTTCCTATTTTGCTCATTATTCTATTAATCTGAGTTTAGAATTCAGTATTTTTTTGCATACCGAAACTCAATCTGCAATTATATAGCCATGTTTAGTAGAGAAATAGGTTGATAATAGCATAAGCCAGAAGCAAACGAAAACAGCTAAAGCTAAATCATGCAACAGATTGATAAATAGCCTATACAAGATATTGCCAAAATACCATCATCTGAAGAACCATTGCCAGGGGTAGTCTCAGCAGGAATTTCTGCAGGCTTTTCAAGAGGTCCTTTAAGAAAAAGGAGAATTCCAATCACTAGGCATATACAAGATCACTAAAATAAATTTTACAAGTTTTTCTTTGGGAGGCTAAAAGCTGACAGATTAGAACATACCATAAGCGGACCCCCCATTTGATGAATCAAAAGAATTGTTTGATGATACTCCATTTTCCGAGTCTTTCACAGTTTTAGCAGCCCTGCAAATGGAAATACCGTCCGTTTAAAAAGAAAAAGAAAGAAACAATACCATAAAATTTCTAGTCTTTAAAAAGATAAATACTGTGATTGTTCGGTTCAGTTCTACCAAACAAAAGTACCCATATAATATAACCTCCCTCCCTCCCTCCCTCTCTTCTTCTTGTTTTTTTTTTTCACAGTTCAAAATTAAATGCTCCAAAATCAAACCAGTAAAGGAGGGGGGAAATGAAAAAGAAAGAAAGTGAGAGTAATACGCAGGAATGTGACTTCGGGCAGCTCTATGCTTGAGGAGGGAAGCCCGAGCCTGAAGGTCATCAGCTTTGAGAGATAAGCCTTTAGAGGAGTAAAGTTTGGCTAAGTCAGTGAGAAGAGACGCCAATTGAAGCTGTGAAGGTTGTTGGGAAGAGCTTAGGGTTTCGAGATTGGGAAGCAGGGATTCGAGGAGAGAGATGGCGCTTTCAGTGTCTCCTTTGGCCACAAGGTCTTCCACAGCTTCGCTCCAATTATCCGGTAATCGCTCATCTTCCATTGAAGCGATGGCTTCCACCTTTGCTGCTCTTGCTTTGACAGAAATTTTCCTCTAGTTCTTCAGAATTTCAAGATCCAACCCACTTCAAACTCATTTATTTGAGATAAAATTTTAATACAACAAATTCATCCCGGATTATTGTGGAGAAATAAGCTTTATTATTTTTATATTTAATTGGGACTAGGATTTGCGGGGTAGATCACATGTAAGGGCTTCAGCTTGAATGATTTGATATCATTTCGATTATATTAACATGGATTTTGTCTCAATTCAAAAACAATGAAGGACTTTACTGGGTAGAATAGAAAAAAATTTTGAAATGGAACGGTATACAGAATTACTATCGAGACAAATCTTAAATATTATATATATTATTTTTAATTTTAAAAATATATATTAAATATATTAATATAATTTATACTTATATTAATTATATTAATTATAATTTCAAAACTTACAATTCTTATATAAAGTTAAAGTTTTTTACATTGATAATTTTAATAATATAAAATAAATACAATAATATCTTTCTTTATAATATATCAATTACATTAATATATTTTATTCTTATATTTATCTATTTAATAACTTTTATTTATATCATATTTCTTATTTTATTTTCATAAAAATAATTAACTTAGCATATCTCAACTAAATTAAAAGAACAATAATTTAATATTGTGTTTGACTTGCCTGTTGTTATTGCTCTTATGATCTAAAGATTATTTATAATTGCTATCATAATGTGTAGTTGTAATTAATATAATTTAATAATTGACTTTAAATTATTGTAATTTATACACTTGTCTTGTTTTAATTTTAAACTTAATAAATCATATGATTTAAAATTTTAATAAATATTATTATCTAAATTTTTTTCTAACATTGTTTGATTTATCGAAATAAAGAGACGTTCCGATCTTATTTCAGTCCCCTCTCAATTTCTAACAAGACGGGACGACTTTTGAAACGAGATGGGACACAAGACAAATATTTAGTTCTGGTCTTTTTTTGGAGAACGGGCACGAGACAGGAAAGTTTCAGTCTCATTTCATCACGTGAACACCTCTAATCACATGTAGTGCTTTATTGACAAACTAAAATTCATTCCTATACATGACGTAGAATATTATGATCTAATCTTAAAAACATTAATATATTACATATTATTACAATAGTTTTTTAATTTGTTAAGTAAAAGTTTTAACCTATACTATTTTTTATTTATTTAATATAAATTATTTATATATTATTTTATTATTTTAGAATAATTATGTTATTTATTTAAAACATGCAAATATAATTATATAACAACTTCGTACATTCTAATATATAAGAAAACGTGTAAAAGTAATATGTCTCTCTTTTAATAAATGAAAAAAGTGATAGATAAAAAAACTTTAATAATGAGAAAATAAAATAGAACAATTTAAATTTTAATGGGCTTTTATTTTATTTATAAAAAAAACGTTGGATGTTTAAGAAAATAAAATTTATATTTTATTGATGTAAGTTTTATTCATATAACACCATCTTATCGAATCGATTACCTTTTATCTTATATGCTCCAACCCATTATTGCATAAACATTTATAAAATGAAAAAAAATAGAAAAAATAGAAAAGAAAAGAAAGAGAGAGAGAAGAGTTGCTCAAGTGTAACAATTATATAATAAAAAGTGTATGACTCTATCTAATAAATGAGGGATGTTAATTTTTTATTTAGTTCGACAAAAGTGGTGGGAAGAAGGAGATATTTTAGTTTGATTTAAAAATATAGACAAATAAAATTATAATATTTTAAAAGAGAAAAAATGAAAGGGAAAAAGAAAAAAAATCAATTAAAAACTTTCAACTATATTTATGTATTTTTTAACACCAAATTTATCAAAGCATAAATAATATATTAAAATGATGTCAAACATTTAGATAACACTCGTCAGTCTTTTTATTTTGTCAACTACATGCATAATAGAAAAAAAATAGTAGCAACCTGCAATTCAAAATTAATTATCTCTTGCAAATTAAAAATATAATAAACAACTCGTTTTATTTGATAATTTTTTTATTATGCTGCATGTTAAAATTATAAATAATACCTTATTTTATTCTGGAATCTTTCACCTCATTCAATTTAAAACTTAATCGAAATAATAATACAAAAAAATATTTAGTAATTTACTATTCATGAGAATTGAAAAAATTTAATAACATACTATAGCTCGTAACTTATCACCCCATGTATAATGCATTGTTATAAGTCATTTAAAAAATCTAAAAATAAAAATGTAAAATAAAAAGATAAATTAGAAATCTAAGAATTTCATAAAATTTTAAAAAATAAAATAAAAATGTTAAAAAAAAATTTTATGTTGTTAATTTTTAATAAATACATTTTACTAATTTATGATTAACAATATTTTTAAAAATATATGTTCTTGAAAACAATAAAAATATTAAGTGTAATAGACGTGCAAATATTTTAACAATATACTATAACTCGAAATTTATTACTTCATATATAATGTGTAGTTATATGTCATTTAAAAAATGTAAAATAAAAATGTAGATTAAGAAATCTAAGAATTTCATAAAATTCACAAAAAGAAAAATATGAAACGCAATTTTTTATGCTGTTAATTTTTTAATAGATATATTTTAATAATTTGTTGTTAAAAATATTTTTAAAAACGATTTCTTTAAAACAATAAAAATATTAAATGTAATAGCTTTTTACTGTAGATACACAGTAAATAAATTTTTTTTGTACATGTGATTCACTTTCACGAACTGTTAATTGAGAGAGATATAGATGATAAAAAGAACCAAAATAATGAGGTAAAAGGCACTTCAAATGAAGTGATATTTCTGCTGGTAAAAAAATAATAATTAGGTGATATTTCTCAATTAAGTGATCTTGCTTCACCAAAAGGGAGGGGGGGAATGAAGTGATGTTTTAGAAATGGACTCTTTTTAAGTAATCGGAAAATGGGTTTTATTCCAAGCTTTTTTTTTGTTTTTTCCGGATGCAATAGTCAAACTTGATATTCTTAGACAGAACAGCGTGGTTGCTGGTCTCTTCATGAAAGGCCCAATGGGTAAAATCTTGGGCCAAACAAAAGTCCACCTACAAGCGTGAACTTGCCCATCCATTCCACTATGACAGGCTCTTTAATCCGTTCTTGATAGTCAAAACCACGTCTTTATTTCCTCTTCATTGTTCAAGTCCAATAACCAAATCTACTAATTTTTTGTCGAAGTTCTGTGTTCAATACAATGATTTAAAAACCAAACAGTCGAATCATCGATTGAAGTCATCAACAACTATGTTTTGATTAAAAATTTATTTTCATAGTTGAATTGAATTGGATTGGAGTTAGGCTACTATTAAATTAAAAATCAGAGTTGAATTAAGAACTAGAATAATTTTTTAAAAAAATAGACAATTTTAAACATAATATTAAAAAAACTTTAAAAATAAAAAAATTTAAAAATTAAAAACTAACTTTATTTTTAGACAATTCACATGTATAAAATATAATTTAAAATTATTTTTTATAAAGATGTTTGACAATTATAGATGTAAATATAAATACTTTTAAGTCTAATAATATCTTATTTAAATAAAATTTACCTATATTTAATAGGTTAAAAAATTATAATTTATAATATTATTATTTTACAGTCATGTTGTGTCATTTTATTAACATACTATGGATTTTTTTTCTTGTATTTATTTTACACATACATTTAATATTATATTTATTTAATTGTCATTGGTTTGACCATTGGTCCAACCTAATTGAACCATACAAACTGTGAACCATTGGCCTTTCCAATTCAATATTCAATCCAGTTTTAAAAACATTGGTTCAATATTAATATTAGTGATAATTGTCATGAATCAGCTCTCAATTAAGTATTATTAACTTAATAGTGTCATGATAATACTATTTAAAAATAAAATGTTAAAAAATTAAAAATTATCAAAACGTCAAAATAAATATAACTTGCCTTGATGAACAAATATATATATATATATATATATATTAAAAGTGGTATGGTAAATGGTGGCTTATATAATCAAATTAGTGACACCAAAAAATTGAGAATATCTGTGTTTTCAAACCCGGATTGGCCGAATGTTCGAACTTTGCTGAAAAATGAAGGAGTTTGATTCAATCATTTGGCCCATTCTAACAATTAATCCAGATTAACCCGCTTTGACTTGAGTGGCTTTTGAAGACTCGAAATGATTTGATCATTTTGAATCTTTTTATTTAAGTATTACTTTTTATCTAATTATTATGTTACCATTTTGATTATATGGTCTAATCAGTTAAATTATGAAAATCATGACCTGCTAACCTTTTTAGTTTATCATCCAATCCGCTTTAAATCAGATGCTTCGTCCTGACCAAAATAATATTAGATGCTTCATCATTTTGCCCAAGGCTATAGATTCTCGCATTGGTAGCTACAATTTTTGTCGTTGTTTTCAATAGTACGTAAAATCATTTTCACCCGTCACCACCGGCTGTTTCACTCTCTTCTCTCACAAGCGTTGCTCGATCTACTCTCTTTTCTTCTCTCAATGTTGGATTTTGATTGTTGTCAATTATATTTTTCTGTAATTATCTTCATAAATACCACCCTATTTGTCAAATTGTCCTCATTGCTTTGAACGAAAATGTCATATAAACTCAACCAATAATGTTAACACATCATCACCACATTGACCAACATGCACCCGTCATCAACACCTGAAATATTATTAACTAAACTAAAACAAAATACTGAGATTTATGAAAATATATGTGCAGGCAACCAATATTTATTTATACGCTACAATTTACTATATATTTAATGATACATTCAATATTAAGATTTGTTTGTAAAACTAATTAGATTTTTTGTATTTCAGACTTCCCCCCGTGACAACAACGTTACCTCAAATAAATAATTAATTTCCAATTTTGGAAAGTGTTTTAATTTTTATCCTCCTGTCTAATTTAAGTTCAGAATTGCGCGCCTGATGAATACGTTGCTGTGTGCCACAATGGAGTCCAAACAAACAAGTCTATCATTTTATTTGCTAGGTTTTATCGCTTCAGGCCATTGCACAATGAGGAGAGAACGATAGAATCAGTGGGAAGGGGAGGCCCTAGATAATCACGACGTGCATTTGTCAAGATTTCATCTGGTTAACTTCTGGGTTTGATTTCAAATTAAAGTTTTTTTTTCTGAAATATCTTACACATCAAGAGATAGACCTCGTTTCTCTCTTAGGAGCTTATTTGGACATGTCCGTTATTATCTTAAGCTTCCTTTTGCTGCCTTACCATTATATTTATAACCCATACATATGTGCAAGGACGAGATTTACAAATAATAGTTAATAGTTAATAGGTAATAGTCAATAGTTAATAGTTAATTTGCATGCATGCAATAATAGGGGTATTAAACCTCAGTACAAAAACACGTTCAAATTAAAAGTTACGTGCATCGGTATTAATTATATGTACCTTTCATATCAAGCCTCACCTTTACCGCCATCTCCAGAAAGATCATGCTCTAAAACAAAAAAAAAATGTCCGTTATTTTACTGATACAAAAAGCCAAGCCTTTATTGCAAATTAATTATATATGTACCATTCCTTATCCAATTTGAAATCATGCGATTTATTAAACTCAACTACTGGCTGCATAGATATCCAATAACACATCCAGATACAAAATACAATATATCCTTCCCAGAATTATAAAATCCTAAGCTACCTTAACAATGAAACTGAACTATCAAGCTTCCCCTCCTGCAAACCAAGAGATCGAATATTATGACGAGTATACCCAATTACCCAAAAGACAAAGACACATAAGAAATGCCGTTTTCCCTTTTCTTTCCTTTTTTTTTTTTGTTTTTTAATTTCTGTTGGGTCGCTAGCTAATTCTTCTGCTAAGTTAATGCCCACAGTACTTGTGAGAATAGCCCCCGTACAGTACTACTTAAGAATCCAGTCATAGAGAAAAGACAGAAAAATGAGACCCAAAATGGGACAGGTCTTCCTTCCTCAGTCTCTATCAAACTGAAACAGTATACGATGCTGCTAGAAACATTCGATCAGGGTCAAGTATAGAAGTTCTTCTCAGGTGACGAAATCCGGCAACAACTGGGCTGCAAAGCTCTTTCTGTTCTGATGAATATCAATATTCTCATAAGTGGTGGCGCCGGAATGCGAAGGAGGAGGAGGAGCAGCAGCAGCAGCAGCAGCGTTAATGGCACAAAGCTCAGTCGCATTATTGGTTCCCAAATGTATATTGTGGGAGAGAAACCCATGTTGAGTGGCAGAGAGAGGAAGGCTGTCACTGTGAGGGAGGCCCAGAGTGAGGGAAACACCGTTCCCATGAAACCTCGGAGCTAAATGCTGTTCAGAAACGTTACTAACGTTAAACCTTCCAATGTCTTGCATGGAGAATCCTCCATAACCCTCGTCACTTAATAACGGGTTATACCCATCTTTAATAAACCGGGGCTTCATTTCCACGTCCACCGAAACGTCGCTAACTCCCATTGTTGGATTTGAGATGTCGTGTAGGGAACTGGCGGTTTGGTTGCTGAACGTTTGATGATCTGGTTTTGACTGGAGAGCTTTAATCTGACCAAATGATGATATAATATTAATGGAACCTGGTTCTTCGTGTGCTGCATCATTATTTCCATCCTTGCTTGATTCTTTTGATGATCTATTCGTGTTGTCCTTGGGGCTGGACTCATTGTTCTGCTCCTTGGTTTCTTCCAAGTACATTTCTTCTACCATTGGTTTCCAGAGCCGAACTCGAGCATTTATAAACCAGTTCGATACCTGCTTTCAAAACGTGTATATATGTATATAATCAATCATGTCACATGCCTCTATTTGCCATGCATATCGTCATTAGCAACATCTACATATAACTTATAGCAAGTCTCATTTTTTATGAATGGTATAGCTTATCTTTATGAATTTCGTGCATTAGGTTGAGATATAGCTGTTAGAGATTAAGCAAGAATAGAAGAATAAACTTGCGCAAATGTTAAGTTAGATCAAGTCTCTCATTGTTCTTTCCTTTTCATCATTAAGAAGGTATTCTGTATATTGCCAATTCTATACTCTAATGCATTTTTGTTTGTATTAATTTGGTTTCAATACTTATCATAAGGTAAAAAAATATTTAAAATAAAATTCTGGGAAGCATTTTGGAGGAATGTCGTCATGCATTTTTATCTTGGTATTTAAATGTCACGTGAGTCCCAATTTTTGAAGCTGTACTGTTTATTGTAAATTCTGAAGAGGAAAAAGTGAGAGAGAAAAGCTTTAATAATAGGCATACATCCATTATTTAGGTCACTCTTTTCCATAATTAAATAAAAATATCATGACAAAGAATTCCAGGAGACCATAATGCATCGAATATATAGTACTTTTTATGGGACTTCGAGTAAAAAAAAAATTACGGAGATCTAGCGTGTGTAAAAATTGAATTTAACTCCACCTATTGTATAAAATATAAATATACCTTTTGTGAAGAACTTTTAATTCTCATGACCCAATAGTGTATATATATATATATATATATATATGTTTGGTTTGATATATAGAATGGAATATACCTGGCTGCGAGTAAGTCCAGTTTGTTTTGCAAGCATAACTTTATCGGAGTCCTTGGGATAACTGCAGACGAGAATTGTAAGAAAGTTAAAGCAATCAATCATTAAATCTGTCACCTAAAAATAACAAACAAAAGAGTAGAGAAATATTTTATTGCGTTTAGTTGCACACTATATATACAGGTCAATGAATTACTTACGGGTGAAGGAAATGCTCAAAAAGCCAAGCACGAAGAATGGAGACAGCTCGTTCAGGCAAGCCTCTCTGAGGCCTCCAAGCGCTGTGCTGTATCATTCCGAGCTGCTGCAGAGCTCGCTGCTGCCGGAGATGGTGGTCCACGTAGCGGAGCCGGGAACCCTGTACCTTGGCTCCTAAGTAATCGTCCTCGCCGAGGCTCTTGCTCGTGGCTTTGATCTGGGAAGACACTGCATCCTTAAGGCATCGAAATTGCTTCGAAATTGTCTCGAGTGCAAGTGCTGTGTATGACTTGGCTGCACCGTATCCCGCTGCCTGCTCAAACCAAGATATCACTATCTGCATTTGGTGCCTGTACTGCCTGTACCTTTGCTCCACCTGCAAAACGTTCCCGACACAACTTTGCATTTTATGCTTTATCCTCAAGGATCTTTTTTTTTTCCTGCACTCCTAGAGATGTTGATGTATTAACTCTTGATGACATGTTTTTGGTTATATGAATAGTTAAAGGATCAAACTATATATTTACTACCTCTTTGTTACTCTTTTACTTCGATTTTTCTTAATCAATAATGGGGATACTGCTTGCATAGTTCTGAAATCAGACACTTGTGACCAAATGGGCCCCTAGCGCAAATTATTATATTCGCCGGCACTCAACAAATTACTTATCTTATCGTTTTCCTTTATTCATGACTGTAATAAAATAAAAGCACAATCATGTTCCTTTCTATTTTATGCGTTCCAATTTTTTTTATTTTCCATGCGTTTATATATCTTTTTGATCTATATTATATTTCTGAGTTTACATGGCCAAACCCTACTTAAAAGAGATCTTTTTGTATTAAATATAACACGATGGTTTATATTATATTTAATTTAAATATTACATATTTTATTGGATCACATTTTTCATGTCATTATTCATGTTTTGATGGACCAAATCTAACAAAAGCGATGATATGTACCTCATCAAGCATGGAAACAAGCTTGGACTTCTTCATCTGAAGCTCTTGCCGCTGGGCGGTGCTGAGTTCACATGCTTGCTTGCCGCCACTTGAACCATCACCGATATTCCCGGATTCCGATTCTGACCTATTCGCTCTCGTCTTCTCTTTATCACTGCTCCTTTCGATCTCTATGGACGCCCTTTTCTCAATCCCCTTTCCCACATTCACAACTTCATCCAGAAGCTCTTGCGCTGCCTTCAGGTACTTTGACCCCAAAATCACGCTCTGCATACTCGAAATTCCGTTCGACACCGTTGACGACGACGGAGAGTTCCCCAGAATCTGCATATCACTACCACCGCCGATGTGGCTAGTCGGCGATATAGCAGAAACTCGGGATTGTCCCGGAACATCGAGCTCACCAGAAAGCGACCTATTATAAGCTGTCTGCTGCGACGAAAGGCTCAGTGACAGGCCTTGCTGACTAGGCCTTCGGAAACTGGCAGTAGCCGCCGTGCCTGAACTACTGGGTGCGGTTGCCGACACTGCCACAGGCGACGACGGTGTTTGATGATCAATTATAGAACCCCACAAGTTATGAACCCGAGGCGCAGCAGTGCTGGCGGCTGCGGTGGCGAAGCCATGGAAGGCAGAGATGTCAGAGTTTTCGGATCCGACCATGTTGGTAGGGATAACGCCGAGCAGGTGGTGGCTACGGGAAGGAGGCGGCGCGTGGGAGAGGTTGAGGGAGTTGCCAGAAGGGGCAGCGTTGGGATTGAAGAGAAGCATGTTAGGGGCCGCGGGGTGGTGAGAGGTACTGTCGGAGTAAGGTATGTAGGTTGGATTCATAAGGTAAAGCGTCTGCAAACCATCCCCAGAAGGTTGGATCTCAGAATTCCCGCCATGAAAGTACGTGGAAGCCATATCTATGTCTGTCTATATATATTGTCCCAATCAAATTCAGTGTCTCTACTCTCTCTGTACGGACTTTACATGCCTATTGGAAACTCAATTCCCACACCCAGCCAACGGGGTTATCCTGAAAAGCAGCGGATCGAAGATTTGTAATTTCTGACGCAACAAACAGACAGAAGAAACTCAGATTTTGATGGTGGAGAGAGACAGAGAACCGAAAAAATAAAAGCAAGTGATGGTTGAAGGAAGGAGCTGAGTTAGGGTGTCCGTACCAGAACAGACATGAAGGTGTGTTTTGTAAGAGAGAATTGAGCTTATATGGCGCTCGAGAGGGGAAGAAGGAAGGTATGGGGTTCCTGTCAAAAGAGTGCTTTTGTTTTCAGAGTGATTGGGTTGGGAGATTGAGGGGACTTAATTTGCTTTGATGGCTCTTCTTATCATCAACAAAGCTTCAGCTGCTCTTCTGCAGTTTCTCTCACTCACTCTCACCCCACAAGTGAAAATTGACTATATAAATTCCCCGAGGCAGACAGAGCCGAGGGTATATCTGGTATGTTGTTACCTAGCTTCGTCCTATATAAACTATCTTCGATGGTTAGCATAGCGTCCTGCGGTGACTTTTATATTATCTTCGGTTTCCCGTTGTTGTAAAATTATATCATTTAATTTCTCTGTAATGGTACCTCCTACCTGGCTATTTTATTATTAAAGGGATTTTACTAATCTTGGTATATATTAATTAAATTAAATATCTGTAAAAAAACATGAATAGCTTAAATACTAGCTAGACTGCATAATATTACATCTTATCATTATATACATCATCATGAATTTAAAAATTTTACGAAGTGTGAGATACTGTTGAATAAAATATTCTTTGACTATTAACTTAATTACGTCTCACACGCGCGCGCGCATATTGAGAAACCATAAAAATTGTGGTTTACTTTATTTTATCATTATCCATGCATATAAGATACATATTGTTAATTACTATTACTAGAATTAACATAAAAATTTATACCAAAAAAGTGCAACGTAATTTTATAAAATGATTTTATGTTCATGTATTTTTTAAATAGAAAAAGAAATCTGTGTAATTTGAAATCCATGTAAGTTATGGTCGAATAAAATAATAATAGACAGCCAGCAAGTGATTTTCGCGAGTTTAGTTGCAAGCTCGTAATTATGCTTTGATGCATCATATCTTCCCACGTTTTAGCGTTCGGTTGGCGCGCGCGCGCGCACATATGTGTGTGTGTGTGTGTGTGTGTGTGTGTAAGTAAATAGCCTCGAGGACCTAAAATGTGGCCCTGCACTCCTTCTAGCGAATCAAACAATCCCAACAAAACAAATAAAAGAACAAATTATAATTATAAATTCAATCACAATTTGATAGTGAAACTAAGGAGAAAAAATCAGCGAAGTAGAAAAATGGAAGAGTGGGGCAGGATTTGGAAGACTTGAAATAAAGCAAGACAAGGAGGTCGGTCTTCTTGATTAATTATAGTGCGTACTGGTACCATCAGATGTTTGGTTTAACTGATAAGGAGATTATAAAGGTTTAACAAGAAGTTTCAAATTCGAGCCTTATAAATACAGGAATGTTGCTAGTAAAATTTTCAGCCAAAAAGATCTTGTCATGGCTGAATCCAAATTATTCTAGGTTTGGTTAAAGTTCTATCATCAACTCCACACAGGACATGCACAAAAAACACCAGGTGTTCTATGAAAAAATTCTACCCTTGGCTATAAGTCTATAACCCAACCTCATTGCATAATTTTGCTTATATACTTTTCTCATCTCATCTCTTTTTTTTTTTTTAACTCTTTTCTTGTTTTTTAGTTTTCGCTTTCTCCCTCTCTTTTTCTTTTTGCTTTGTTCTCGGTGTTGGATCCAAGAAGAGTCATTGTTATCTTCCCTTTAGGTGAAAAAGAAAACTAATCACATAAAAATTATAAATAAATAAAGACAAAGAAAACATGAATGAAAAGGTTTTGACGCTTTACACTGTGTATATTAATTTCAGATTTTCAATAAGGATCACTGAAATTAATTGCTTGTGGCGCATATAGCCACTGATAACGTTAATATTATGCACTACACACAGACACCACTAGAGCACTAATTACAACATGTGCCACACGTATATATGAGTAGAGATAATACAGAAGAAGCATATCAACTACAACAATAAAATTGTCCCCACAAGTGTCTGTGTCACTCATGAACAGTCACACCCACCAATCAATTCTTATCCTTCCTTTCGACAAGATTTTTTTTTTTAAGTTGTACGAATGGTAAACCATCACAGCGCGGCATTTAAAAAAAAAAAAAACTCTATACAACAATAAGCGAGCTGACAATTCAGTTATCGTAAAATTTGCTTCTTGTAGCTTATTTAACTTATCATATTTTAATTGTTTTTCCTTTTTTCTACATGCCTATGAATTTTAGATTTATCAAATAGTAAATTTGTAGTTAATTAGGCAGCACTGGACTAGCTATTTGCCATTTCTAATAAATGGATTGAGAAAAATTTAAAGGCCTATATAGCTAGGATCCAGAAAAATAAATTAATGGGGACATAATTTATATACAAAATAAATATCAATATTTTTATAAAAATAATTTGAAATATCTATTAACTCATATCAAGGGTATACGTTGATAAATAAATACTAAAGAACAGGTCATAACACATGCTATTATAATAACATAAAAGATTCTCTTTATATAAATTTTTTTTATATCTACTAGAATTATGTTTTTTTAATTTTTATTAAATACAACCTTATACCTCCTCTATATGCATAGTAGAGAATTTTTTCTTGACTCAAATTTTTCATATACAATTTTTTAAAATTATTGCTCTTTTATTGTAAAACTCTTACTATTTAAAGTTATAAAACAGATAAAATTTGAGATAAATTTTCTAATGGGATAAGTAAAATTATATAAGAGGGACAAGTGAAATTTGAGGGCATAAATGAAATTTTTTTAAGGGGGAAATTAAAATTATTAGGATCATTCTAGGTAATTTTTTTTTTCTTTTGGATTGTCGGGGCTATTGCCCCCACTGTGAAGGACGCAGGTAAGTCCCTGCCTATATATGAAAGCTAGATTCATTCATTTTTTATAATTGAATAGAACAATTGTCATTTTGATAATTTATGATGAATAGCATGATTTTTTTACAAATTATATTATATATTAACACATTGATTACTATGCATTCTAATCATAGGTCATTGGAATATTTTGCTCTCGCAGACGCCACTATCACTATCCAGTGTGAGCCTAACGAAGCTAGGCGCCGTAGCTTATTTTGCGTAATACTTTAATTTATTTTCTCACTCTCCACATCTCATAGCACAGAGTACGATCATACAGTAGTTAATTGGGGTTAAATATCTGCTGAACAAGAATTAATATCACTGTGAAAGGGATCCACATAGGTTAAACATATGAGAGTGGATGATGACTTCAGCTCCAATAGCTTGACAGGTGTGATTTCGCTTTATAACATGGTAATAAGCATCGCTTTTAATTATTAACAGCAGATATCTAATCAAGAAGCTAATTAAGACAAGGAATCTATACATTAGCCATCATTAAAAAGTGGATTAAACATTAAGAGAGGCTTGAAGAAGGCATCTGCTGTGGCATAATTTTATCTTTAGAACTTTCAAAGATAATAATAATCACCATGATGGGCACAAGGCACCTTTTGTCATCGTTCCATTCTTAAACATGATTTACCTATCGCTCTCAATCTCTCTAATTAATTTAAATTAATTTGCGCCACTCGTGAACAAAAGATAATTTTTAGTCTTAACATAATCACGACTGTGCATGGATGTGATATTTCTGAGTTATTATCAATGATTTCTAATAACGTGATAGTGCGTTATATAATCCAAAGCTGAGTCGCCATGCAGTGTTTCGAAACATTTCTTTAATTATGATGAAATAATTATTAAGTATGGAAATATTCTACTAGACTATAATTTAAAGATTGAAATAATTAGTCTTGTTTATTGAACTCAACCGCATAGATATAATTTTTTTTGGACCAGAATATAAAAAAGTATATCCCGTACAAAGTTATTTCAATTTAAAGAAATTTCCATACACTTAGTGTATGATCATATCTCAAATAAGATTATCTCAGATAAAATAACATATGATTACATGGATGGCAGGATTATTAAATAAAGGAAAAACATGCATTTTGGCCCTTGCATTTTGCTTATGTTCTGCTATAAATTTCTATACTTTTTTCGTCGGTGCTTTGGGTCTCTGCACTTTCATTTTTTGGTATTTTATGTTCATCTAAAATTCATATATTTTGTTCATTTAAGAATCTAAAACACCAAAAAATAAAAGCATAGGGACTCAAAATATTAAAAAAAAAGTACAGAAACCTATAGCAAAATACAAGCAAAGTGCAAGAACCAAAAAGTATATTTTTCCTTAAATAAATTAGAGTCTTAGTTTTTTCAAATCACAAATCACTTTTCATTAAAAAAAAAATGGCGCGAGAAGCATTTCTTATCTCATAGAAATTTCAATATTTTCTTGCAAATTCTTTTCAAGATTTTCTTTCAGGGGTTGTGTGTATGTAGCCCTTTGGAATATTTATGCGGAGTCCAACCGGTCCCCGAGGAAAAATACCCTAAAAGAAATTGTTGATTGATGGGCATACACAAACGCGAGCGAAGAGAGTAAAATAGCCTTGTATGTTCAGATTGAATGAGCTGACAAGGTTTATAAATTTTGCCTCTTGTATGTGTTTATGTAATATATTCGTTAGAGAATGATGTGTGTATGTGTGTGTAAACATATGATCATGTATAAGCGATGATGATTGATGATAATCTACCTTTTTGTCCCTGCCGTGAGTACCGCTTCTGAGGTTGATAGACGTCAACCTATTGAAAACTCAGCCCTGATTCTTGTTATGCCAAGTCACTATATGCCTGATCTCCCTGCCGTGAAATTAGTGCTGTTCTTGAAGAATAAGATCTGCAAATTATTAGTTATAGAGATTGGATTTAGTAGAAAGGATTACTCCCTTGGAACATGGTGAACCAAAATTAGAATCTTTGTTGGTAGATATGTGTTCAAATTTAGTACCTGACTATATTTCAAATAAAATTGCTTTCACTACTGTCAAAAAAAAAATTTCAAATTATCATACACCCCCCTTTCATGATTATTTTGTTTTTATTCACCATTAAAATGCAAACTATACGGCGTAAATTTCATCAGTTGGTTTTTTTTTTTAGGAATTGTCATAATTAAGTAAAATATTAAGAGTTTAATCCCCCAGCCGACAGTTTATTATTTATATCATCGTGATCATCTGAATTTGACGTAAAACAGACATTGAAATTTATCTTGAATTGCGGCATAATTAAAAAAATAAGGGCCTGTTTGGATACCCATTGAGACTCAATTCTAGGATCAAAATCATGGTTTTGTAAAAGTTTATCCAAACATCCTTATTTTACAAAACTCCATTTG